TACATCATATCAATAAAATTCAGTATAACATAAAACATTGAAAGTAGAGAAATATTACAACATTCTGCTTGCACAGTGTTGGGGTACAGAATAGAAGCTGATAAATAGAAAAGACTTGTAAACTGAAACCTAAATAGATAAATAAAGAGCAATCACTTTAGTACAATTTTTCTAGGGACACTAAATACTTGTGTTAAGCAGCAATGCCATCCGAGGTAGTGAATTATGCAAGTTCTAATCTAAATCTAACAAAGATAAAAATAAATCATTTTCACTGAATATGTGGCATTTCATCATGTCTTTCAAACAATCTTTATAAATGTGACCAGATAATAATGTTAACTTTTACCTCATTTAACTTGCAATTTGGTGGGTTATGTCACTATCGTTTTCAAGGATGATCATGGCCCATTTACATGAATGGAAAGATGTCCATGACATTATTTTTCCTTTTTTTTGGCGGAACCAGGGATTGAACTCAGGCCCTTGTGCTTGCCAGGCAAGTGCTTATTCTACTGAGCCATCTCCCCAGCCCTCATGACATTATTTTGAAAGAAAAATTATGTTATGTTCAGCTCCATTCATAATTGTTGTAAGTATTTCTAACTCATGGATCAAAAAGTCTAGATGAATACTAAACTATGATTATCATGCTTCTGTGTTATTTAAATTATAGAAGTAACACATATTTGTGAAAAAAGGCAGAAGGGAGACATTCAACAGGTTCCCAATAGACTCTCTTAATAATACACATGAACAAAATGAATTGGTGATGAATAATTCATTGATAGAGAACCTTTTATATTATACTTTAAGAAAGATAAAATGGCTAAAGTGATTGTTTATGGCAATCAATCAAACAACAAAGCACAAAAGCAAATGTTCAACTCTGATACAATATGAGTAAGACTCAATCCTATAGAGATCTATTTACAAATCATACATACTGAGATTTAATTTTGGTTTTAAAAGAGTATAAAAATATCCATCCTATAGATCTAATTTCCAGAAAGTATGATCACAAAGAAATCCTTATTCATATGGATTTTAAGAATGGTTTAGAAATAAGCGGGATAAACGAAAGTACCCAGTTAGGTCTATGTAGTAGTCATATAATGCTCTAAGTCATTTGATCTGGTTTATCCATAGAATGCTGGCTTAGATTTCTCTTATATTTTCTCATGGCCTATACTCTCATCTTCTTGCTAAAAGCTGCTTTCACTAGTATTTCTATATCTTCCACTTTCCTCTTCCTCTTTGACAAGCTCTGTTTAGTAGACTGAGTGTTGGGCAGGCTGAAAAAGCTCTGAATATAGCAGCAGATAGCTACTAACTACCAGTCACATACCTTTGATGTACACAATAACAAGGATGTGAATTTACTTAGTGGTTTATACTTTTAAAAGTGCTTTTACATGTTTTACTCATTCTTCATAAGTGCACTCTAAGGTAGAAGTGATAGATTAGGAACTAGGTCCTGAGACATTATAGCTGTATTCCTGTTTTCTTTCTAAAGCTCATGTACCACTAGCTTTATTATCTTAACTTCTCATAAAAATATGTTATGTGTAAACTATTTTACAAAATAAACATGTTTAACACTGCATTTGTGAAATTATCTAGACTACTTATAGACAAATTGGAAGTTAGACTAACCATACACATAAAAACATCTCCATATTTCTAAAAGCACTCAAGGTAAAACTTACTTAAATCACACACAAAAATTTTTCAGATGCAATTCCTATTATTTCTCACTATTAAATTTTCATGGGGAGGATGAAACAATCTGAAATACATATGAATAAACTAACAAAAATCATACATGATGTTGTGCTTATTAACACACAATGTTGTTGATGATTAACTCCACAAAAAAACTATCACATAACATTTAATGCTTATTAATGCTACTGTTCTTATCATAAGAATAGTAAGCTTTGAATACCTTTTAGTAATTTGTAGAGGGTCATCAAGGATTGGGTCATTATCAAATGTTTCCTTATCAAAAAGTCTCCTTATCGCATAGTTTGCCAATTGTTCCATAAGAAGGTATGTCTGGTTAATGTGCAAAAACATTGAAAAGTAGTAATCCTCCCCTTGGGAACACACATGAATACTCTCTGTCAATATGACATTTGAAGTCTTTTCAAGCTTTGAGACTGCATCCCAGGAGATAATGAGTTTTACTGCAAACAAAAGTTATAAGTAGATATGATTAAATATTCTCATATTGATTTATGTGTACATCAGGTCTTTCGAAACAACAATTTGAGAAATGCTATGAAGAGATATAATACTTTAAAGATTGAGATTAGTTAAAATTGTGAAGCATCACCACAAATATACAATAATCAGTGATTCTAGGAATGAATACAATTTTAAATAATTCAAATAAGATTTTGATTTAATGTTTAAATCTTTTTCTTAAAAAATCTTTTTCTTTATATAGTAATTACCCAATTATATCACCATCAAGTAAAAGCTATACATATGCTATAAACAGTACAGTTTGGCTCTTCTTTGTGGCTGCAAAGTGAAATGTGGGTCATCAGACTACTAGATTTACAGTCTGCTTACAACAAGGATTAAAATATGGACTGAATCAAGTAGGTAGTTTATAACTAGGAAAGAAACTAGTTATAAGCCAGACTCCCACTATTAATAGCTACTATTAATAGATATTCAAAGTTTTCCATACATATGTCAAACAGTTTCCTAGTTAAGCAACCAGTCCTAAAAGGATTTACCCTTGATGAAATGAACATCGTGATGTATGGTTTAATTACCTTTAACACAAATCTATATACTTTTTATACAATCTAACACCAGCATAGAGGTGATAATCAAGTCAGCAAATTCAAAGCCACAGTAAGCAATAGAAACCACTTACTTTCTGATCCCAACAAAAAGGAATAGAAGCTCAGAAAGTTGGTACTAAGATAGAGCCAACCCTGACAAGGAACCCGTCCTTTCCAATAACTGCATGAGTAATAGGTCACTAATTTTTCCTGCTCTGGTAAACCAAATGACTTTTCAAATTTCAAAAGGGCTTCTCGAAATTTTTCAGGATCATCTTCTTTTGCAAAAGAATGTTTTCCCTCTTCGGCAATTAATCCCTAGGGGAGACAAAATATTTTCTGAAAATTCATTATCACCTACCAACAAAAATATATTTAATATATTTAATTTCAAATAGTTGCTTGAATACAATTGTATATATCTATGGTACCTATGTTACATGTACATGTACATATACATACTTCTCCTAGGAGAGAGGTCAGCATCATTTTCTCAGTTTGTACAAGTTTTTTCCAGTGCCTCACAAGGAGCTACCACAAATCTAGGTGTTAAATATATTCTTTTAAAAGAACAAAAGGTTTTTTCAAACTCCAAATCAAGAAATACAGAAATGAAAATATTGCCAAGAATATGGACAAGGGTATCAAAGACAAACCAATGGCTTTATAATTTTGTTAAGCATTTATCAAGCATTTTTATGTGTGCCTCTATTAATTCTAAAAGTTGCCAATAAACAACTGACCTTTCACATAAGTTCTGATCCTTCTCTAAGAGGGTCAAAGATTTTAGTATTCTATTAAAAAACTATACTCATATCACTTACTCTTATCTTTCCTTGTACAAAATTAGTAATATCTTCATTTGAGTCAAACACAGATAAGGTCTTCATGATATTCTGTTCCAACCAATCCCAATGTTTGGTTATTTCTTCTCTGTTGGCTCCTGATTATGACAGAATGGAAGACTTAAGGAAAATTCCACAACAAAACTGCTCTTGATATTTACCAAGTCAGTTTAAAAAGAAATAAAATATTTGTTCACTTTCAAAAATGGTGGTCATAAAGAAACAAAGGCATTAAGATTTATTCTCAATCTCTCTACATGGACATGGACAATATTTTTGTTTTGAATAGAAAGATTAAAACATGTAATGAAACATAATTATTGCTCATGAGAAAAGATATAAAATTCTATAAACAATATATTAGTAACTGATACCAAGAGAATAAGAATTGCCTTTTATTAAAATACACAGATACCAAAAAATACAAATGAATGTTTCAACCTTTATTCTTGAAATACAACTATAATTGTGTCTTTTATCTGTGTGGCTAAAACAGCACATATGTGACAATCCTATGAATGCTGTATGAATGTGGATTTAAACTTTGCCTGGCAGACTTATGAAAGAAATCTTTGTTTAGTCATCCCATTTTGTTGAAAGACCTAGTAAACTTGTAGAAATGTCACAAAGGAGGTTAGAAATCCTCTTCTTAAGTGACCATCTAAATTAATGTTATATGGCTTATTGAGAGTCAGATTAAATATTATTTGCTCTAAGTTGTTTTGGCTTGAAGAACATTTTAATAACTACCAATCCTCCCTTCCCCAAATTGTTTTAAGATCTCCCCAAATTGTGGATTACACAAACTTCAGGTAAAAGAATTGTCTTGAATTTCTGCATGTTTTATAATATACAGGCACTGACACATTAAAAATGCCATGAAAAACTGCATATATCCTACAATTCAGTTGAAATTTTATTCATGTCCTATAGTCACCATAGCAAGAATAACAGCTTTAATGAATATCAAAAGTCAGGAGGAAGTTTTTAAAGACCTTTATTTTGAGAATTTTGGAGCAGTAAATTCCTGACCTACAAATGAGTTCAGTCATGGGAGAATGTTTGCAAGTTGGACTTGTTCATAAGTCTGACAAAGTGAGTCTTATACACCTTTTACTCAACTATGCAAAGTATACTACTTTGCATTTCTTAGCAGTGTACTCCATAATACTACTTCTTTTCCACTTGATTCTGGACATCCTGATTTCTGATTGAGCAGTGTACAATGGTACCTCAATTTATGAACTTAATTTGTTCCGCGATTCTGGCTGTGAACCAAATTGAATCGAATTTCCACATTAAGGTTGGATGTAAGTAAGTTTAATCCATTCTCATCCCTAAGAATGTGGTTGTGAACCAAATGAAATTTTCCCATAAGGTTCAGTGTAAATAAGGTTAATTTGTCCTGAGCCATGTGTATTTTTTTAACTAGCAAAATATGGAAAAAGTATAGCACAGTATAAAGAGAGAATACTAACCTTGCTTGAGATGACTTCTGGCATGTAGGGTGGTAAGGAGGTTATTTGGAGGGAGAGTACTCTCATAAAAACACTTGGGAATGCTCCTGGGGTTTTCTTTCTTCTTGGTCTCTTAGCTACCAGGCCAATTTTGACAAAAAAAAAAAAACTGTCTAATGTCATTTTTTTTTCCTGTGCTGCATAACCCTCCAGAAATGAGAGACCACTTTATTGTTCATCAGATTCAACACTCTGTGCATTACAGTTTTGTTTAGGGTGGTACCTCTCTACGAAATCCTGGCACTCATTCCATTTTTTTCATAATGGATTGTTATCACATCATTGCTAACCTGTCTTCCTCTTCTGCATTGGAAAGCTCCTCAACAAGCACATCTACAAATTTTTCCATCATTCGCTCATTATGGTCCTCAACAAGTTCTGCTATGACTGCAACATCACACCCACATACTTTTTTTTTTTTGGTCTTATTGAGACAGGGTTTCCCTGTGCAGTTCAGGCTGGAGTATAATTCACTTTATAGCCCAGGTTGGCTTCAAATTCACATGGTCCTCCTGCCTCAAACTCCTACGTGCTGGGATCACAGGTGTGCACCACCACACCTGGCCTCAGACACATACGCTTGCCCATGATTACAATCTTCACTATCTTTACATCAGACCCTTCAAAATCATGTTCAGTGACATGATCTAGCCATGGTTCCCTCTGGGCTGAGCTTAAGGTGTGGTACGTGACATCCTCCCAGGCTTTCTCAATGAACTTGATGTAGCAGAGGACATTGAAATGTTTCTTCCAGATTAAGAGTCAAAAACATCTCTTCAGTGATGTTAAAATAACTGGTGAAGAATGTTTTTGTGTACAGCTTTATGAAACTGAATATCATTTGCCGGTCTATAGGCTGTACAAGAGGTTTCATATTGCACGGAGGAACTTGACTTTTATGAAGTCATACTCAGTGTTTTAATCCACCAAGGCTGGAGTTTATGCTGGGGCACTGTTCATCGGAATAACAATGGATGGTTATCAGAAAAACATTTCTTAATAGTGCATACCAATACCTTGTGCATCCATCTTACAAACAAATGCCTTGGGACACAAGCTTTGACACTGGTCCTCCACATGACTGGTAGTCTGGCCTTGTTCACATTCTGTTTCTTGAATGCTCAAGGGTCTGAGAATGGTACATTAATAGTGGCTTAATCTTTACACTGGCACTTGTATTTTCACATGGAAAAACAGTCAGTCTTTACACGGGCATATGCCCTGGCAACATCTCTTCCTCCTGCGTGATATAAGTTCTGTTCAGCATTTTGTTCCAGAAGAGTCCTGTTTCATCACAGTTGAACATTTGTTGAGCAATATGCCCTTCTGCCTTCATGAATTCCATGAATTCTTTCATGTAGGCTTATGCAGCAGCCATGTCAGAACTGGAAGCATTACTATATCTAATCACTGTGGATGCCATTTCTCTGATGGAATGTATCAAACCACCCCCTACTGGCTTTAAATCCATTACTTGTACTTATAGAGGAGTTTTCCTACAGTAAATCACTATACAATTTCCTGGCTTTTTCAAAGACTACAGCTTTACTAATGCTATCAACTGTTTCTCATTGAACCACATTAACAAAAGTTTTTTCGATCTTTTCCAGCATTTATCTCCTTTTTTTTTGGTGGTACCAGGGATCTACTTTGCAGCATTTATGTCCTCTACTTGGCAAACAATGCTATTCCTTTTGCCACATCAGTTCCTTTGTTTTTTGGGTGTTATTTTTTCCTTTTGGTGGAACCAGGGATTGAACTCAGGAGCTTGCGCTTGCCAGGGAAGCACTTATTCTACTGAGCCATCCCCCCGGCCCCCTCCTTTGTTTTTTTTAAAATTTTTAAAAATTAATATTATTTTTAAGATAATACAAAACAATGATAACAAAAATAGAAACGATACAGAATTTCACTAAAAATAATATAAATTTGACAGTATTTCACATCGACTCTTTTGATGGCATCTTTATTCTTCAAAACAGTTGGGATTTTAACTTTGCCATCTTGTACTCTGAGGCCAAATCAGTCACATGAATATGATGTTCATGCTCTTCTATGATTTCCTTCTTCAATTCAATGGTTACTTTTCTAAAAATCTTTGCATTCCTGCTCTGCACTTTCTTGTCACGTTCCTTATTGCGCTGCATGTTTTTGTCACCTTCATTACTACTCTGAACAACTGCTTGCTGTGTACTTTCTTGGGAGCCATGCTAGACTGAATAATACTCTACAATACAGTACGTGCTAAAAAGCACACAATGAAGCTTCACAGCAAGTGTTCCTAGCTCCATCTCCAACTGTGATTTCAACTAGAGGATAAAACAACCACATGTCAGAGTGAGGAATATGACAGCACTAGTGTCAGTCATCCAACCTTGAGTTCAATAATGGAACCAATATTTTGCCAGATATTTCTGTCTGAGAACCAAATTGTTTGTGAATAGAAGTATTTGTGAAACAGGGTATTACTATACTAGTGTATAATATTACACTAAACTGTTAGTACACAGTAGTACAGTGGTACCTTGGTTCACAAACTTAATTTGTTTCACAATTCTGGAAAAGATGGCCATGTTCATGTTCATATGGGAAAGATGGCTACAGTCTTGTTCATTATCTGATGCAGAGTTTGTAAATAAAAAGTGTCTGTGAACCAAGGTATGACTGTACAAGCGGAACAATGTCCAGCAGACACATGAGCTCTTCACACAATCTGTTCACATCCATGAATGCTTGTAATGTGAAATCCATTTAGATCTCTAAAAGTTTGCAACTTAAATGTTCATAAATCAGGGACTTACTTACAAGGCAGCTCATCTGCAGGTAACTACTATGTTTATGCCTCATTTTAATTTGGGAGAATAAGTTACACAAAGTCATCCTTTTTTAACTAGAAAGAACATTCATTTACTAACATGGTACAGGTCACTGAACTCAGTGCTTTGCATATGTTAAGCTAAGTGTTTGTCTTTTTTTGCATTGTAAAGATGATATTTTTATTAATTTTATTGAGAAACAAATAGTAATGAGACAGTTTCAAAACTGATTAGTAGGACAGTTTCAATAATTAATACATTGCATATTGTTGTCTTCATAGTATTTATTCATAGTACAAGATGCAGACATGATATCCTGTCCAAACACTGTTGGTACAAATATTTCTTCTCATTGAATTAAGAGAAAGCAGCTGTATATCTATCCTAACTATTTTGTGTATACAGATACAAAATGGTTCTTCATTTGTATCCCCTTTTTTTGTTTAGTTTTGTCAGAGACAGGTATTCCATTGTTATTTAAATATTGCAGGTGCATGAATTCAGCAAAATAATCCAATATAGTCCAGTAGTCCATAATAGTAGTGGGTGTTCTGTAGGACTGGCAATGTCAGAAATTGACTTGAGCCTTTTACAGCTCAGCATATTAATATGGCTTTACTTAGCCAAGTGTTCTTCCACTAAGCTACATTATTACCCTAGAAAGGACACTTTATCCTAAATAATTTTGATTAACAAGATTTAGAGTTGAGATTACAGAATTCTCATGTCGTCTTCATTCACTAAAATGGCATTTAATTTAAAATGGCTGAAGTAGAAAACCACTAGCAATACTAAAAGAAATTCAGAGGAAAATATAAAATGTGAATTATATGCTATATGTTCACCTATAGGAAATACCTAGAAATTTGCTTTTGTTCCTTTTTAAAACTACATATGTATTTATCAAGTCAGCATAGTGAATATAATTAGTATATACTGCAAACATGGACTAATAATTTTTTAAATAAAAAAATTATCTACTTGAGAAAGGGAGAAGAGAAAAAGGCCCCCATTCAACATTTTAAAAGCCTGAAATATTACAATGGCATATGTTATGGTTTGTCTCTAGGCGTTCCCCCAAAGCCTCATGCAGTCATGGGGTGGACTTCTAGAGTTTGTGAGTAACTCATAATCCACTGGGATTATGGGTGATCCAAGGCTGGGATTATGGGTGTGAGTGCTACACCTACCCTGAGGTGGATAGCCTGAATGTAATAGAAGAGAGACAGAGAGATAGACTTCTCTGTTGCCATTGTTGCTACTACTCCTCCCATTTGTTCTCTGCTCTTTGCCACTGCCATGAGCTGCTGCCCTCTGTCTTGGAGCCAGCTGAGTATGGACTGAATCCTGTAGCTGTAAGCTAAATAAAACTTTCCTTCCTTCATTTTGGGTGTCAGGTATTTGTCAGAGCAACAACAGAAGAATAACTGAGACAGCATAAAAAAGTGTCACTTTGGATTAACAACAACAACAACAAAAAACCTATGTTGAGTTACTTTAGTAGGAAGAATCATAATATTTCCTTTCCTATCCATAATAAAAATGTGGAAATGTCTGAATCACTCTGGCATGGATGAATATGCAACACTACCTCTAGGATATTTCTTTATATTTCAAGGATATGATCCTTTCTGTGAGAAAGTAAGAATACAAATTTTTAGAAAACCACTTTTTCTGGCTTATACTTCTTTAAGAGAAACCCTTTGTGTTTTGAACTTACATTTAAATCCAGATTTTCCACATCCAAGTTATTAGAAATGAAACAACATATTTCATGGAGAAAGTCTCAACTTCTCAGCAGTTGTGCAAAGCAGAAGTTGAAGGAAGGAGTCAGGTAGCAGTAGCACTGACAAAAATCTGTTCAGAATCCATCCTTCTGTACTACATGCTCCAGGTTGCTCACATCAATGGATTTTTAATTAAGTTTATTGGTACAATTTAGATATACAGAATGATCATATTCATCATAGGGAATTTGTACCTGAACATGATATATCTTGGTTCCTCTTTTTCCCCCTCCCCCTCTCCTCCCTTCAACTCCTTCTTCTCCTCCTTATTTACAAAACTTTGTTTTTTTTTGTATTGTTCTTGTTTTTTTTTCTTTTTTTATTAATTTTATTAAGAAAGAAATAGCAATGAGACAGCTTCAAAACAGGTTAGTAGGATAGTTACAATAATTGTTGTCTTCATAGTAGTTATTCATAGTACAAGATGCAGACGTGATATCTTGTCTAAACACTATTAGTCCAAATCTTTCTTCTCATTGAACTAACAGAAAGTAGCAGTATATCTATCCT